TACTTCATCCAATGATTTAACATTATTTACAAGTCAAATTACAAAGTCAATCCGCACAGCTCATTAGTCAAGATCATATACAAATCTATTGAGGGCTTACTAATTTCATAACTCCAAACTCGCCAACCAAAACTATGTAGCGTGCCGCTAACTATAGCGCACACATTAGTTTTTATTGTGCCGAACAAGGCAACAAAACCACGCGACTTTGAGTCATGTTTCCTTACTTTGGCTCAATTAAGTACCTAAAGTCTCAAAGACTTTTGCTCTCTAAAGAAGGGATTAGTTTGTTCACTTTTGAACATCTCTACTAAGTTTAGGTCAACCAAATTAACTTCCATAAGCTAAATCAATTTAGAGAGAAATTCGCATTGGGATTAATTTGATTAGCATAATATAATTTTGCCGCAAAAATCTAAATTAAATAGTGACAATATTAACACAAGTCGCAAGATCGAAAATCCGCTATGCTTGTAATCATTCTCTGCGCCACAAGTGACAATTATCCAAAATTTAGTTTAATTTATGCGCAAAATATTGGTTTCGGGAGTTAATCTACAAAGATTTCTCTCAACCGAATAACCTCCCACTGACTATGCATATACAAAGTATGATAAATTCCATACAATAGCATTTTAATGTAAATCTACAAATAACTCATGCTATATTTATTTAATAATGAATTCTAATAAATAAATAAATAATCATGCTCTTCTAATTACAACATATTACAAACCCAAAAAAAATATGCTGTATTCAATATTCAGATTATGCCATAATTAAAGTGTACATCATTTTGGAATTTCTGGAATTTTTCTGAAATATTCTGGAATTTTAAATAATTAATAACACACATAAAATTAGAAATAAAAAATCCAGAAACTGATAAACTGAGACAAATTACCAGTAGACAGTAAAACATTTCAGAAGTCCACAATAAAATTTCAACCCCAGAAAATTATTTATGCAATACCAGAATCATTTTAAAGCATAAAAAATGAATTATTAACACAGAAAATAATTTTTTATTTTCGTAAAATTTTCAAAATTTTACAGAAGATATAATTTAATTATGAGTATAACGGTACAACTATGCTTAAAACAAAGCTTAAACGAATAAATTATGGCCAATTAACGCAATTAGAATAAAAAACAAACAAACAGAGCCTTAGAGCCAAGCCAGGCGTGAAAAACGGCTCGGCTCGGCTCGGCTCCGCCGCCGCTCAGCGCAACTCGGCGCGAGTTGGCTCAAGAGCGACTCGGCGCGGCTCGGAGCGCGGCTCAGCCCGCGGCTAGGTGCTCGGCTCCAGCACGCGGCGCGCGTGCGAGGCACGGACCGGCGTGCGCGTGGACAGGTCGCTGACACGCGCGTGATGGCGCGTGCAGCGCGTTAGCAGGGCATCCGGCGTGTGGGAGCGCGTGGCTACGTGTGGTGGCGCGTAGCGCTGCTGGGAGGCGTCATACAGCGCGTGAATCACACGCGCCGCCTTCCCGGGTGTTTTCTGGTCCGATTTTTGTACTACCGGACTCCTTTTTTCAAAATAAAACCGTTTATGGTATGAAAAAAAGACATTATGAACTAAAAAAATATTTATGCTCTTATCTAATCAAAGTAGATTTTTCCTCCTTTACACATTCATGTATATAATGTAAACATACACATGTAAAAATATACACATGATATAAAGGAAACACGAAAATATCAATCAATGGCTCTGATACCAATGTAAATCAAAGTATAAACATGCACGGAATAAATGTTTAGATCATACATTTTTTTGATCTAAAATCTCGTGGATAATCGCGTGCTTCCTGAATTTAGTCAATCAACCCAGCAGTGAAGTGATATTCAATATTGAATATCACCCACAACAAACCACAGTGCAAATGACTTTGATCGTTATTTTGGGAAAGAGTCAGTATCTTGAAAAAAAAAACAAACTACGTGTGTTTCCACTTAACATCCCATATCCCATATCTCAGATATATATATCTATTTATCTCATTTACCATTTGTTAAATGAGATAATATCTGATATCTATATCACTCATCATATCATGATATGATAGATATATATCTTGAGTGGCTATCCAAATAGGTTTGAATTCAAATTCAAAACCCATTTAGATAAGTTCAAAAGGTTCTAAGGGTCATGCCACATGGGCCCCAATTTCTAACAGGTTCTTTTGACCTACAGATAAATCCTTCATGCCCATATCTCCCAGAATCTTTTGCAGTCAAAGCTTATGCTTCAATTGCTTCATAAGTGCAAAGCTGATAGTAAAAGCTAAAAACACATGCTTAAGCCACGCAGATCAACCGGGGTCAATCCTGATCCCCCTCCTCCCCTACCCTTACCAAGATCCCCTCATTGCATTTTCTCTTTGTATTTCCTACTTGTAGGGCTATTGGACTCACTTTTAAGCCCAATTTTGATAATTCAAACTCAAACCGTTCATATTTTAAGATTTGTTCAGTATTTCATACCTGTAAAAAATCAAGTCGATCAGATATCAGAAAGCATGTGTTCGGAAAACTCGAACTAAAAACTATTTTTTTAAAGAATTTAATAAACAGTTTTCCGAACACATGTTTTCTGATATCCGATCAACTTGATTTTTTACAGGTATGAAATACTGAACAAATCTTAAAATATGAACGGTTTGAATTATCAAAATTAAGCCTAAAAGTGGGCCCATTGGCTCTGCAAGTAAGAAATATAAGGAGAAAATGTAAGGAGGGGATCCTGATTCTACCTTACCCCCCTCTTCCTATCCTGGATCTTAAAAAAATATATAATAAAAAAATAAAAAATAAAAAATCTTCGCAAGTAATTATGGTTTAAAGGTGAGAAGGGAGTAATAAATCCGTTCTCACTTCAATCAACCCCAACTGCTGGCAACTCAAAAAAAAATCAAAAAATTAAAAAGTTATCAAAAAAATTAAAACGTTATCACTATTCATCAAAAAAAAATATAAAAAAAATTAATATACATAATAATAAATACCAACCAACTTCACGGCAGTCTATGTACAGACCTGAAAGCATAGGAGTGAAAGGAAAAAAATAAAATATTACATATGTATTTTCATTAAATTGGATGGTAAAGTTGGGCCCGTGGGGGCCATCACGGGTCCCATTTTTTTTCTAATCGGAACCGTTAATGTGTATAACTCATCGAGTACTATATGTTTTTAAAAAATCACGTCTATTAGATATCACGAACTACATGATCAAATCAGTTTTGCATAAAAAATGTATGGTGTTATAGTTAACATGTGACAAAAAAAAACTAATACGACCAGATAGCTATCGATATCCAATGAACGTGATTTTTTACAAGAATATAGTACTCGACGATTTCTACACATTGAAACGGTTTCGATTAGAAAAACGGGACCCGTGGTAGGCCCCCACGGACCGAACAATACCGTCCAATCAAAGGCCGAAAAGTAGGCAATCTTTTCCCATATCCTTTCAGCCCAACCGTACGGATTCATTAATTAGGTTCTCTTACACACTTGTTTATATAATATTTTAATACACATTTTTTTTATAAAAAATCAAAAATTTAATCCAAACGTCCATATTTTTTACTCAACTTTTTAGTCCAAAAAGACAAAAAGTACACTTATTTAGGACACCCCAAATAACCCCGCTCGGATATCTTTCAACCAAAAGAATGGAATCAAGATGATGCATTCTATTTCCAGTAAGCAAGAAAACCAATTGAGCCTAATAGATCTCACTACTCACAATGATCTTCCATTTCCATACCTCTATCTTATACAAACTAAAAACTTCATGCTCTCCTCGTATTCAAGTTCTAACGTAATTCTAATAAAATTCTTAGTAGCTAATCAAATTCATCTGAAAATTGCAATAGTTGCATACTAACAAGGCTCCCAGCTTTTTACATAAGAGATGGAAACTATATTGGAATGGTTAAAAAATATTTTTTTAAAAAAAAAAACTTGCAAATTTGACATAATTAAAGAGAAGAATTAAGTAAATGTCAAAATGGAAAGCAAAAGCAAGGCAGAAATGATTCCAACTCTTTATTTACTAACTGATGCCAAAAAAGCGAGAGAAAGATCCCGCTACCTCACAGTATTACACTAGTGTTCAAAGTACGCAATCTTTAGTGGGTGATGCCATGCAAGAACGGTTTTTCTTCATCCATGCTCGTTCTTCACAAATTTAGTGCAAGTTTTATTAGTACCGCTCATAATATATGGGCAAAGGGAAAAAAAAAAAATTTGATGAGAGAACTGGAAGATCTTAAATCAATTGAGAAAGTAATGTCAATCATACATTCGAAGTGATAAAATGTACTTATAACCATCACACTTCAAACTTAAAATTTGATAGAACAATCTGAAGTGAAATTCTAAAACAGATCAGCAGAAAATGAAGCAAAAGCAATTTCTAGCATTATTACATATTGAAGTGTTAGATGGTTACTGGATTTAGTTTAACCATAAAATAATATTAAACAGAAATTTAACCAATGTAAAACTGGACCACATTGCACCCTAAACTATAAACCAAACCACAAGTAGACAACAAAGCTATATGTAAAAAATATCTTCCTTACAAATTAGATAAACCAAAAATTCATTTAAACAAGAGTGTAATTGTTGTATCATACAGTATCAGTTACCCCTTTCTTCAGGGGAGGGGGATATGAGAATAAATCACATGGGCTAAGCAAAACTACAGCTTGAGCTGATTCCTATACAGCTCTCTATAATTTCATCAAAATAACTTACACTTGATGGGAACCTCATTAGAAGTACTTCACATTTGCCATTCTTCCACATTAGGACACAAGGCTCGATCTGCAATTCCAAACCTAATCAGCACAAGAAGACATGATGTGTTGGTAGACATTCACCTCCCTCATCAGTCGTCTACTTGATGCTCAATTATCTTCACTTCATTGAACCATCCAGGCAGCCCGAAAACAATAAGAATTGAAAAGTTTTCCACTACTATTCTGTAGCTTTTCACACAATTGACACCTAACAGAAGAAAACACTCAATTGGAAAGGAGAGGGTTATTCAGATTTGCTTTCCATACTATAGATATTGCCAGCCACCCCAACAACGCTAACTGTTATTGCCAATATCAACATGAACCAAGACAAAAACTTCTCAGCACGGGTCAAACCATGCCCTTGTTTACTTAACTTCAACGCAATAAGTGCTGGAAATGTAAAGCCCAGTGAGACTGCAGTAGTTGCCCCAGTAAACTTAAAAGCTGTCCAAATACTGGGAATCATTGTAGATCCAAAATATATAAGTACCAACAGTACTGCAGTTAAGGCCAAAGACCTCTTCCTACTCTCTGTAAGAGGTGCTGATCCCTCAAATACCAAGGCATCTACAGTTTGCCGGAGGGAGAAATGTATAACAGGGAAAACAAGAATCAAATGAAAAATGTATCCAACACGAACAATATAGTTTAAAGCTGTACTGAAACGAATTCCAAGGTCTTTATCAAAGTTAGTCAGTACATCAGCCTCAGTGTTCTTTCCAAAGAGTAGATAACCTGATATGGCAGTAGATGCATAAATCAGAACACAAAGAATGGTTGTGATCCTTCCAACTCGATTCATCTTCTGAGGTGACCGTCCTTGAAGCTCATTATAGATAGGTTGAACATTGAAATGACACACATATGCGTTGGACATGATTGGAATCACAACAAGCAAATCCAAAATTGCCTTCTTTGATCCAAAATCCGGTGTCAATCTAGGAGTCTCAATAGTGCCTTCAATGAGCTTAATAATAGCAATAACAAAAGCAACGAAAACAAAGACAACAGCAAGAGCTACCGAGGCAGCTGATGTCAAGCTCAACGAATCAATCTTATCCAAAGCACAAAGCGGTGCAAGAAAAACCACTACAACAATTAAAATCACTAGTTTTCTATGATCCCAAAAACCATTTCCCAACCATTGATCAAAAACCCCAATATGACGAAGGGAACCCGACATTACATCACCCATAATAATCAAATAAACAACAAGAACACCAGCATTGTTCACAATTATACAAATTTCAGACAAAATCCTAGCAGGCTTACCACAAGCAGCCTGAACAACCTCCCCATAGGAAGTCGCTTTACATTGAACGGTGAATCGAACAAGCATTTCGACGCTGATTTCAGATAAAATACCCATCAAAATAATCAAAATAACCCCTAGAATCAAACCCAAAACTTTCATTGTTGCAGGCAAGGCCATAATCCCAGCCCCAACAATAGATGTGGTGAGATTAAAAATAGCCCCATAAACCCCAGAATTGTTGTTTTTACCCTCATAAACAAGATTGTCGAAATCTTCATCATCAATAGGAGGAGATCTAGGGGTCCCTGATCTAAAAATATCATCTTGGACTTGTAATTCTACGTATGAAGTCTTGGGAAGAGCCGAATAATTACTATCCATTCGCATTTATCTTCTATATAGTGTATAAACAGAATTGAATTTGTATATAGAAACACAATGTAAGAGAAAAGAGACTTACTGAATTGAATTGACGATGATTTGAAGATGCGAATGGATCGAATTGAATTTTCTGAATTAGGATTGAGAACAGAGATGGGTTGCAACCCTAGATCTCGGGGTCAACCAATGGTTAACTCTATCACACAATAATGCCCAATGAGAGAGAGTTATTGATAGAGAGAGAGAGAGAGAGAGAATGGAGCGGGTTGGAGGGTTTTCTGCTGTTTGACGAGTGGGTGAGTTGAGTTCTGAGCCGTCGATTTGGAAAAAACGAACGATTGGTGGGGATCCTATGTGGTGAGTGTAGGGTATTTTGGGTGTTTTGAAAAATTTATAAAAAGTTTAATTTTTGATTTTTTTAATTTATTTTATTCTTTTATGAATATGTAAAACGGCCGTGCTTCAGGGCCCGAAAACAGGGGGCTCGAATGCCCCGTATTTCCATTTAAGGTAAAAAAAAAAAAAAAAAGTGGGGATCCTATGTGGTGAGTGTAGGGTATTTTGGGTGTTTTGAAAAATTTATAAAAAGTTTAATTTTTGATTTTTTTAATTTATTTTATTTTTTTATGAATATGTAAAATTAATAAAAAGTTAAAAATTAATTTTTTTACCAATTTTTCCAAAGGCACTTTGTGTGGTCCGCAATGTAATGATTGAGTGATTACCTGGGACCCTACGGAGAGAGTTGCATCGGTGGTGTTCGTTGGCATGAAGGTGGACATGGGTGCATTGGGTTGACCAACTTTGTCTCAAGTTAAAGGAATTATCCTCTGATTCAAAAATTTAATGCTAGTGATGTGTCCTATCAATAGTAAAAAAATTAAAAATTACATGATGCTAAAACCAAAAAATGATATAGAAATGACAATCTTATTGGATGGACACATAACCACGTAATCTTCTTGACCAATTGTCACGACCCCAAACCGCCCTTAGTAGTTTGGTACCGTGATGGCCAGTAATCGGAGATTATCGAAGGTCAACTTTCAAAATTCACACACAATCAGAGTATAATTTATGGGGCTTACAAGTGCAGAAGCAATAATCTAAAATACAAGTGGTTCATAAGAGCAGTGCATAAGTCAAATGGAATGGCAAACATCTTTACATAGCTTTACAACTTGAATACATATAGAAATGAAGTACAAAAATACGTATTACATCTTAACAAAAGGGCTTCTCAAGCCGACATGTTCAAACACAAAGGCTTCAAGATTGCCAACATCTTCACTGTCGACATAACATGCATACAAGACATACATCTTGGCGTGGCCGACTTCTTGGTTGTTACCTACATACATACATAGGGAGAGTGAGCTTGGATACTCAGTGAATGGTATAAGTAATAAAGGGGTTAAATGAATGATTCCCCAGGTCTTTGTCAAAACAATACATATATCATAGCTTGTTTAAAACATGGGATGAATCAAGTTCATCAATCAAATCTTGGTCCTTCAAAACTCACATACTTAACAAGTGTGCTACTAATGCTTATAGTCTCCTAGCACGTATGGACTTGTGCCACAATTGCTTAAAGTCCCCTGGCACGTACGGACTTCACATATGTGCTACTAATGCTTAAAGTCCCCTAGCACGTACGGACTTGTGCCACAATTGCTTAAAGTCCCCTGGCACGTACGAACTTCACATATGTGCTACTAATGCTTAAAGTCCCCTAGCACGTACGGACTTTCAAAGATTGTCATTCAAGCAAAGCTTACTTGATACATTGCCATCCAAAACAGAGTTTATACTTGATACATAAAATAGGGATATCATTCATGCTTAGCAAATACTTTTATCAAAACAAGTCAAAGCTTTATCAAAACGTTATAACGTAACTTTATTAGAAATACCACTCACATTAGTTCTTGGGATGTCGGGGTCAAGGCAAAGGTTCAAGTCCTACAAACACATGGCAAAGCATACTGAACATACTTCTCAAAACAGGTCTCACATGCATGCAAATGATCTCGGAAAAACATGCTGGCAGTCAAAACACTATTTTACATGTCAGGAAGACATGCTGGGTACCAACCAGGTCTTTGCCGAGGTCCTACACCTCCTGGCCGAGGTGTGGCTACCTAGGCTCCGGCGTGCAGCAGCATGCCGAGGTGCACACAAGACAAACTAAAGGTGCAAGTGATCATGCAAAGTAGGCCAAGGTGAGATACGATGCTTGGCCTAAGTGTGAGGTCTAGGTGAGAGTGATCTCGGCGACTACACCTCGGGAAGTGAGGTCTGGAGATCTGGGTTTCCACCCGTGAAGAACAGGAAGAACATGAACATGAAGATCATGAATAACATGGATGCCAAAATCATAACTTCTTTATTTACAAAATCTGGGATTTCATGCTATGAGTTCGAAAACATGGACTTGGGCGTCCATACTTGAAAATCATGTGAAAACAAACACAAAAACATGGATCTAAGCATGAGCCTTCGGATCAAAACATGACTTTTCTTGAAAAACACATGAATGCTATTTTCTCTTTCTAAAACCGAACTTCAAAGCAATGCATGGCTTACAAATCATATTCAATCATGCAATTCAATAACATAAACATAAAGAACGACAAGAGTAGATTAAGAATCTAACCTTAGAACACGGATCTAACGGTTCGATCTCAAGGAATCAAGCTTAGAAATCCACTCTCTCTCAAGAACTCTTCTTCCTCTCCTAGAGCTTCTCTCTCTTCTTCAAAACAAGTATACAACAAAATGATGGGTTCTCTCTCTCTATCGGTTGACTTAGTTCTCAGCTCGGACACGTGGCAACGGCTGGTTGGTTCTCTTAAAAAATGTGATGGATTGACAAGACAAGGCTATGACAAAGCGTATCTAACAAGCTACTCGGAATGGCACTCCGGCAAGTGGTGACATCGGCTAACAACAAGACTTCGGCAACTAAGGTGACAATGACCTCGGTTAGGAAGGACGACACTTGACTAAGCTGTGCCACACCTCGGTCTAGGTCATACCACTCCAGGACAAGATCGCTCAGGTGCAAAGGTAACATCTCGGCCTAGATAATATACATCTCGGCCTTGGTGATTCACACCTCGGCCTAGATAATGACATCTCGGCCAATATGTCAGGGCGAAGGTGGAAGTCAAACAAAGGGGTTCCAAGATACTTCTAGGCTGGAGATGACCTCGGCTTGGGATGATCTAGGCGTAACGTAACCTAGGCTTGGCATGACTTCGGCTTAACATAACTTAGGCTCGGGGTACCAAGGAAGGAACAAAGAAAGCACACAACACTTAGACAAATTACATAGACATCAAAACAAGGCATGAATCTTACTTAGGCAAAACAAGTCACAAACATACAAATGCAAGCTTAACGAGTCGTAATCATACAAATGTTCATGAACATGGCTAAGACATATGTGGGTTGTTACACCAATAGAATAATTTATGCTCCTATTGGCAATTTTGAGACCAAGAAGGCGACAAGTTATTGGATGGTTCAAGTTCCAGATCAGTTAGTGTTTTACCAACATTTGATTGGTGGATGCTTTAATGAATTGATAATAATTTTTTGACATGACTCTACTAATTAGGATTGTATAAAATACCACTTAATTTGTACCAATTTACTTTCTATCTACAGGGTTAGTTTGATTTGCAGTTTAAAATTTATAATATCCTTTTGAAACCGTCCCATCCCGTCATAGTTGGTACATATATATATATATATATATATATATTTCAATGAAATATCAAAGTAAAAATTTAGTACGTCAGAAATTTAAGATATGAAATTTATTACAAATTAGTATCATATATAAAATATTATGTAAAATCAGTTAGTATTGTATATATATATAAAACTTATGCAAATTAGTATTATATATTATGTAAATACTTGATAATTGTTTAAAATTATTCTCCAATCAAATCGTAGTTTAACTATGAATAGCAAATTTATCAATCCATCATTCACGATTTGATTATAATTTTATCTTCAAACCATACTGTGTATACTCCTACAACCAACGAAGGATTTAACCAATTAAAATAATTTAGGTGCGCTAAATGTTGATACTCCTAAACTAGCTAATAATTTCTCAAGAGATAGACTTTCTATTTATGTTTGAATATCAAACATCCTTGATGAGAATTGGATTGAGCTTATTATGAGTTGTGTTACAGCTGTCCAATATTCTATTTTACGAAATGGTGAACGTCTGGAGGAATTTAGGCCCATGAAAAGCCTAAGACAAGGATATCATTTATCTCCCTACCTTTTTGTTCTATGCATGGAGAGATTGTCCAACATGATCTATCATATGGTTGATACGAAAAGATGGAAAGGGGTTACCATTTCTAAAAGGGGACCTTGTATCACTCAATTATTCTTTGCGGATGATCTGATTCTATTTGCTAGGATAGATTGTAAGAATTGTGATACAATCACTAAGGTTATGAATGAGTTTAGCTCTATCTCTGGTCTAAAAATTAATTTTCAAAAATCTAAACTCTTTTGTGTCTCCCAACATTGAGAGAAGAAGAGCTAAGGATCTCAGTAACCTCTATGGTATCCCTCTTACTTCTAACCTAGGGAAATATCTAGAGGTCCCCCTTATGCACTAGAGAGTGAATAGAAGTTAATTTAACTACACCCTTGAAAGGATGTAGAACAAGTTAGCTGGGTGGAAAATGAAAGCCTTGAATTTGGTAGGTAGAATGACTCCTGTACAATTTGTTACCTCAGCTATTCCAGCTTATACCATGCAAACCATGATTATTCCTAAGAGTGTGTGCAATGATATTGATCGTATGAATAGAAATTTTATTTAGGGTGACATCCTAGAGAAGAAGAAAATTCATCTTGTGAGTTGGGATGAGGTGTGCAAAAAGAAAAAGCATGGTGGGTTGGGACTTGAGAAGGCTATAGTTCACAACCTAGCTTTAATTTCTAAACAAGCCTGGAATCTTATGAATAATGGGACTAGCCTATGGGCTAAGGTCCTAAGATCCAAATACCTAAAAAATACTTAGTTTTTTAAGTCAGAAAAAGAGGATGAGGACTTCTCATGTGTGAAGATGTATGTTAAAAACTAAAGGCATATTGAGGAAAGGGGCTAAGTGGTCCATTGGGGATGGTTCTTGTGTTAATCTTTAGAGTGATTGGTGGTGTGGGGATAGACCTCTTGAAGACGTTATTGCTCCACCCTCCAACTCTAACTTCATAGACACTGAACTGCCCAAGA